GTGTTCCGTCAGGGGTTGGTTCGCACAAGTATATAAAGACAAATATACACGCATGCGCACACGCACACAAACACACACATACTTGTACTTTTATCTTTATGAGGACACTCATGGATATAATGCATTCCCTAGCCTCTTACCCAATCTTAACCCTCAAATCTAAATGCCATAAGCCTTATCCTAAACCTAATTCTAACCTGAACCCCAAAATCAAGTCTTATCCCTCAAAATGGTGTTTCAGAAAGTTATGACTGACCAAAATGTCATCACATTCCAAAAATGTCCTCACTTTGTAGCAAAAAATACTTTGTTGGTCCTCACTATATAGGATGTAAAAGAACACACACAACCATATGCCGTACATGTTCATGTTCCATCTCATTTTTCCTTGCAGTACTCTAACTACACAACTTGGAGAGTCACAGTTTCCTTTCTGCCTAATCACAGCTTTGCCCACTTTTTCAGAAACTAGTGCAGAAAAACAACTTAATTTATCAGAGCCAAACTGCCTGTTGTACTGTAACAAATTCATATACTGAATCTGCATATTCCACACTAGCATTCTGGCATTTTGGTGTGTATGCATGTCCTTACTGGTCTGTGTAAACTGCCTAAGCCAGACATGATCACGTACAGTTTACAGTCAAAACATAAAACTATGGGGCAATGAGAGCTAGTGTTAAAGAGTCATATGATTCATGTCATTTTTTGCACCCGGTTTTGAATAGTTCACTTCAAGTATTTCACTAAAAGTCTATATTGAGTTTATATATTGAGACTGCAGCATACCTGAAAAGTTGTGACAATGTACACAAGAAGATCAAAACCACTTTGATGTTAAAGCTAGATGTGAGCCACAGTGGTGATTTCCAGACAGTGTGCCATGGGAAAAAGCTTAAGATCACTCATAGCCTATGTCCCATATGTTAGCCCCTGTCTGCCAGCTGTTTGGACTTAATATCCCTCCCTGCTTGACCACATTTTAGATTACATTACATTAGATTCAGCTCTATTGTCATTACCCATGTACAAGTATAAGGCAATGAAATACAGTTTATCATCTAACCAGAAGTACAATAACAGCAGTGCAGAGTGCACAGTATCTACAGTATGAACAGTCAGAACTAATTTACAATGGCTATGTACAATTGATAGTTACAGTAAGATATGTAGGGTAATGTACGATATACAACAGACTTTGGATTCAAATTTCAGCAATGGAAGAGGTACATTAAGCTTATGGAACACTAGTGCAATGAGATGAGATGGAATGAAACAGTGCAGAATAATAAGATAAGTTACATGAGTTAACAGTTCAATGGATGTAAATAGTGCAAAGATAAAGATAAATATGGAGTACCTGCATGTGAACAGTGTGCAAATGAACAACAGAACAGCATCCTCCTCTCTGGATGGTGTTACAGGTCACTGTGTACCAAGACAACCAGGCACAAGGACAGTTTCTTCCCCCAGGCTGTCACTCTGATGAACACTTGACCCACGACAGTATGACTGGACAATAACCCTCATTGTACAGATTGCACAGATCCATACAGGTCTCTATTTTTAAGTACTCTATTTTTATTCCTATTTATCTCATTTCATTCTTTGTTTGTCTGCATTGTTTACTGCCTGTTTATATTGTTTATTTTGCATTGTTTGCACTGTTTGTTGCTGTTAATACTGCTTATTTTGTTATACAAAATAACAGTGACAGTGGTGTGGTGGGTAGAGCAGTCGTCTCCAAGGTTGAAGGTTCAAATCTCAGTGCCTCCAGTCCACGTGTCGAAGTGTCCTTGGGCAAGACACTGAACCTTTCCCGATGGTTAGAGCCATCAGATGAATTGGTGCCATCGGTTCTGTACCGTAAACAAATTCCTTGTCTGTAATATACTTGGCCAATAAAGGTGATTATCCTATACAGCCTTATGTTGGTTTACTGTTTACTTGCCCTTTGCATGAGGATATGTACATGCGCATTGAGAGCCGAGGTACCAGAATCAAATTCCTCGTGTGTCTGACACACCTGGCCAATAAAGCAGATTCTAATTCTGATTCTGTATTCTGTGACTAGAGTATGTGCAAATTAACAGATTGCTTCAGTGTTACAGGTAACAGAAGTGTATTGCATTAGTCCCAGGAGGAGAGATGAGAAGGGGTGAGGTGTGTGTAGTGGTATAGAGGAAGGCAGCGGGGGGGTCAACAGGGTACAGAGTTCAGTAAGAAGACAGCTGTGGGGAAGAAGCTGTTCCTGAGTCTACTGGTTTTGGTCCGGAGGCTCCTGGAGTGCCTCCCAGAGGGCAGGAGGTCAAACAGTTTGTGGGGTGAGAGGAGTCCTTGAGAATGCTCTGAGCACGTCAGAGACAGTGTTCCCTGTGGACACCCTCAATGGCTGGTAGTAGAGTCCCAGTGATGCATTGGGCAGTTTTCACCACCCGCTACAGCACCTAGCAGTCAGAGACAGAGCAGTTTTCATACCAGATTGTGATAAAGGTGGTCAGGATGCTCTTGATGGCACAGCAGTAGAAGTTTACGAGGATGGCTGAAGACAGGTGGTTCTTCTTCAGTGTCCTAAAGGTAAACAAAGGCGCTGGTGAGCCTTCTTAACCAGGCTGTGGGTGTTGGTGATTCAGGACAGATCCTCTGAGATGTAGGTCCCCGGGAATTTGAAGCTGGAGACATGTTCAACAACCATCTGAATACTGTGGATGGGGTCATGTGTGCCTTCTTTCTCCCTCCTGTAGTCTACAATGAGCTCCTTGGTCTTGTTGGTCTTAAGGAGCAGGTAGGCTCCCTGTAGGCTGTCTCATTCTTGTTGCTGATGTTGCACCGTGGTGTCATCTGCAAACTTGATGATGGTGTTGGAGCTATGCACAGGCCTGCAGTCATAGGTGAAAAAGGGAGTAGAAGAATGGGCTCAGCACACAGCCCTGTGGTACGCCGGTGTTGAGGATGATAATGGAGGAGCAGGTGTTGTCTGACCTAACAAGCTGAGGCCTGTTGTCAGAAAGGCCAGAATCCAGTTGCAGAAGGAGGTGCTGATGTCCAGGTCTCCATGTTTGGTGGTTAATTTGGAGGGGATGACTGTGTTAAATGCTGAGCTGAAGTCCACAAACAGCATTCTTGCATAAGTGTTGTTGTTGTCCAGGTGTCTGAGTACAGAATGCATTGCTAATTGGTGGGGGTCTAGTGTGAGTGGGAGACAGGCCCAACTGCTTGGGCAAGGGACAGGTTAAAAATGTCTGTAAAGACACCAGCAAGCTGTCCAGCACATGCCCTGAGCATGCGTCCAGGAATGCTGTCAGGTCCAGCAGCCTTGCGTACGTTGATCTTGTTCAGAGCAGCATACACATCAGTGGAGGTGAGTGTGACTGGCTGGTGGTTTGCGGAGGGTCTGGACTTGATAGCTGTCTCCTTGTTGTCCCAGTCGAAGCTAGCATAGAAGTCATTTAGCTCGTTGAGGGAGGAGACATCTGTGGTTGTCGGGGTGGAGTTGCCGGGCTTGTAGTCACTGATGACCTGGATGCCCTGCCACATACATCAGGGGTCAGAGTTTGTGAAGTGTTCCTCCACCCTTTAGCTTGGTCTTCTTGATGCCCCTCCTCAGGTTGGCCCTGGATAAGCTGTAGGCCTGTGCATCACCAGATCTGAAGGCAGAGTTGCAGGCCTTCCACACCTGCTTGTTCATCCATGGCTTCTGATTTGAGATTTGGGTACTGTTTCTGGGTTGTGACACTTTCAGTGGTAGTGGTAATAAAATCCAGCACAGAGGAAGTGTAGGTGTTGATGTCTGTGTAAGAGTCACAGGTAGCCCAGGAGGGAAACATACTCCAGTCTGTGTGGTGAAACCTGTCCTGAGTTTTATTTCCTGTGGTGTGGCAGGAAACATGCTGCTGGAATTTAAGGAGCACTGACGCATTGTACATGCGCCGCCACCTTGGTCTGTATTCTAGATCTATATTTTAGGCTTGTTTTTGACTTTCCTGAACAATCAATTCTTAAACCCTAGATTTGACTTTTTTATATTTATTAAATAAGTGACATGTGACACCCTAAAGGGGTAAATTGCTGTTCCACTCCAGATGGAATCCTAAAATACATTCCATGATAGTATGTTAACAGGTTATTGGGATGCATTTGAACATATCATGAGGGACCCTCAGTTTGGTGTTAACATTTCTGTTACATCCAGACTGGGATTACATTTGAAGTACAGCATGCACCTGTGTTACATTTACATATGATATTGCAGTAGTATATACTACTGTACCTGTCTACATTATAGTGAACTTACATTCATATTTTTGACTCACTCCACTTATTTTTGCTTTATTGAGATGTACTGAAAGTAAAAGGTAAATCTTGAGTAACTGACTCTTTACTGCATCACTGTAAGAGTTGCACAGCACAGTCGGTGCTTTCTTTGCAGTTTGAAAGCAGTGGAGATACAATGTACAAGGGAGTACAAGCTATGCCATAATTTTTATTGTGCTTTTTGTTTGTTTGTTTTAAACACTGTGTGTACTGGTTGGTAGTGCCTGCACAAAGTCCTGTTATTTTTCTTATAGTGTCTGAGATACAGGTCACTTGAACAAAAGAAGAAGAAACCAAGTGTAGTGTCTGCAAAGCTTTGAGCTATAATAACACTATTAAAGTTTTGCCTTCCTCTCTCTCTTTCTCCATCCAGCTCCAGTCCTTCATGCAGGTGAACGTTTTTCAAGTCCGAGTAGACGGGTGTCCCAGTTCAGACTGTTCCAGGGCCGGTGGCTGCACCAGCGCTTTGAATGTGCGAGACACACCCACGGTGGTGGACTGTGGGACTATGAGTCTTGTATCTGTGACGGTGGAATCCACAGCTGTGTGCTTTTGCTCAGGTAGAGAGCAGTCCCATCAGCCCTGTGCTGCATATCCCAGAAATCCCTGCTTCAATGGTGGAGTATGCGTGGACACTCAGCATGGCTACAGGTGAGTTGAAAATGAACATTAATCCAAACAGTGCTTGAATGATAGAGCATGGTAGCATTCCATCAGATTTCCCAATAAAAGCTAATACAACACTATACTACTCTTGCTTTTCCAGTTACACTGAGATAGTAAATACAAAATGTTAGTTGCTACATGTGGTAACAGAGCCTATAAGAATGACCTCAGATGGAAGCAGTAAACTTTATTTTCCTCTGGATGAAAATCCTCCTTTTGCTTTCACTTTATTGCGCCAATAAAGACAATAACCTCGGAGAACCACTGCTATTTACTTCCCCTAATTATTCACAGGAGAGAGAACTTGGAGTGTAAAGCAGAAATCACTAAAACATAAAAATATAAATAAATGAATACAATGATGCAATATTCTGAAACAGCTTACATATAGATGTGCTGTGCATATAATTAATGAAATTATGCTTTTGATTTGATTTTGTTCAAAATGATTTTGACACATGTTCAAACATAGATATATACAAACACAAACTATATATAAAGTCTGCTTTGCATTTAAGAGCTCCTTTATCAGTATGACTTTGCCTTCATCAAAGTCTTTCACAGAAAAAAATATGACATGCAACATTTAATCCCTTCTTTTTCTACTTAAAAAATAAACTCTGGTCTTTACTTCTCACTGAGTCCCACAAGGTAGTTGTGCTATAGGAGGCCAGCACAGTGAGATAGAACTAGTTGGGATATAGGAATAATGGGTTGGAGATGAAAAAATCACAAGGAGTGTATAGGACAATTTTGAAAATGATTATACATCTGTATTTGTACATGTGTTTTTCGGAGTATGTTTTTAGAAATTAGAAGTGAGGCCATATAGGGAGCTCATTTAACACTGCGGCCAGGTAGTGACTGTGACTGGAGGGTCTCTCTCTGTGTTGCTTTTTATTTCTGACACTTTGTTGTTGCCGGGTTATGGAGGTTAAAGATAGAACTAATTCTTTTAACTTTCATCTCTCTTATCCTGTTTCTGTTTGGAAAGTGTCTGTTTGAGGTGTTCTGTTAGCCTGAATGTTGAAGCCTCATTATGCATCTGCTTCGGATGTTATCATGACATTCAGTGCCCAGTTCTTATTGCAGAATAGTTATGGCTCAGTAGAGCCCTGCTCACCTACTGTACCAGGAGGTTGTTATATTTCCATAGAGCTACAGTCACAATAATTAACACAGTGTTTGTGCTTTATGCACTAAAAATACCTGGTTAGGTTTAGCTACTAAACCTAAAGCCCCTTTTCCATCACCTGGTACCGGCTCAACTCGACTTGACCCGACTCAACTCTACTCACTTTTTGTACCAGGTGCTTGATTTTCAACTGCAGACGGTCCCCTCTCAGTGTAGCTGGTTATCATAGTGACACCACATTACACTGCTGTGACATCATGAGCAACCAACACAGTAACAGTGGAGGACATCAAAAGTATGCTGTTCTTGATCCAAGGTACGTGGCTGTTTAGAGTTAGTACAGTAACTATAGTAAAATAGTGGTCAGCGTTAAATAACATTGCTTTTAAAAATGGCACTTTCTTTATTCTCACACGTTGATGACACAGTTTCTCTGACCAGTCACTAGTCTGCAGTGTTTACATGCTCACTTGGAACCTCGATGGAGGAGATACCCAAAATAGTACCAGGTACTATCCCCAACATTTGAATGATAGAAACACAAATAAGGCAAGTCGAGCCAAACCGAGCCAGTAAGAGGCAGTGGAAAAGGAGCTTAAGTGATTAGGTTTATGAAACATTGCTTGAGTTAAAACACTCATTGTTAAAAATAAAAAATGACCCACACTGGAATTTTCCACTTGACTGCGACTCTCACCCAACTGTCTACTCCATCTTCCTCCTAACATGGACTTTCACCCTTCATAAAATATGTCACTGAGTTCACTTCATGGACTCTGTCATACTTGAGAGATTCAGGAGGCCCCTCCTGTGCCGTATTCAAGCTCGTGATAGCCAGCTATAATAGCCATTGAATAGTGTCACAACACTTGAATTATTAGGGTGTGAAGCTAGTGAGTCCACTGGATCTCACTTCTAAAATATTGTGCTACCATTAGCTCTGTGACAGTCCATGGATTACATTAGTTTATCATTATTTCATTATATATAATGCATCAATAAAGCACCATGCATAGTTGTAGTCTTTATTTAGCTAAAGAAAACATTTTGAAATATTGAAGCTTAACCAGGTCCCCTTAATTTACCTCACTAATATCACACAGCCACAGTATAACTGGAATATTAGTAGATATACAATAAAATCAGAATTACCCAGCACTGTGCTAGAATGCAGTGCCATAATTTATCTGTACAAGTCCTTGTCATTTTACATGTGACATTAAACAATGACTATGACATATTCGAATGCTAATTTCCCATACATTTATTGGAAAGCTGAAAAAATATAAAAAATGTGACAGCACATTTTACACATCACATTGTCAAACTTGTGCAAACAACCGTTACAAATTAGGCACCTTATTTCTATCATTTTCCCCTTTGAGTTTTGGTATTGTTATTGTTGAATCTGTATTTGATATGAGTTTATGTAGCTTGGATATTATTTTCTTGGAATCTGTAACTTTCATAATCTCTTCATTTAATTTGGAGGGTTGTAGTTGATTATTAATTACACTGTACTGAAAGGAACTGTTCTCTCTGATCTAGGTATTTCTGGATCATTGTATTAAACTGGTTATTTTCAAATAGGTAATGAAAGATGCAAAAATTTCTGTCAAAGTCTTCTATTTGAGAACCTTAAAATTAAATGTCATATCAAATGCCTAACTACCTGACCTAACTAACTAAAGACTCACATTAAACATGCATGTGTACTGTATGACGACTACATAGGTGTGGTTGTAAACCTCTGCACTGCTTACCTAATCTTACAGCTTGTATGCAGGGTGAGTCTGGGGAAGAAATCCCAAGCGTCATGTTGTCTTTGGAAAAGAAAGCTCACATCGAGATAGTGGCCATGTCCTGAGGTTTGAAAAATCTCCCTTGGTGCAACAAGATCAGTAAACATCTTGTAGTCCTATAATGCCAACTTTTTGGTTCTTCTAGACATGTAATATTCCCAGTGTAGCAGCTTAGCACATAGTAAATTAGCTTTCAGTTATGGCAGATGCTGTTAATGTGTTGAAGGTTTGTTTCTGAGAAATATCAAGATGACAGTGAGCATTTACCCTACAGTATATTTGGAGCCTAACCTCAAAACGTCATCTATTTCCAGCTAATCTTTAGACACGGTAAATGAAGACCCTATTTATGAGAAGGAGAGCAGGGGAGAAGACAGAAGAGACATGAGAAATTCAAAGAAAATTAAAAGAGTGAACATAACCTCAAATCATATGCTTTTGAGACCATGCTGGTGACTACAAGGCAAAGTGCCTGTGGTGTTCGTGTGTATCTGTGTGCGGCTTCATGTTGTGTTTAGTTTAAAGCCAAATATTCTGTCGAACAAGGATGGTGATTAAAAATTGTGAAAAAATGATTAAAATCAAATTAACACCCTACCTAGTACCACTAAATGAAACATTTTTAATACTATGGTAGGAAATGTTCTAAGAATTACATAACAACTGAACTCGTAATTTGAACTTCAAGGTTTTCTCACACTTATTTTGCTAATTAACAACAGAGTATGATGTTTTTCATTGGTGTGTTGCAACTGTATATGAGATTGAATAAAAATAAGTTGCAATACCTGTTTTTGTTCAGGCTAAAGCGAATTACTGACACTGTAACAGCTGAACGTACTGTGCATCTTCATCTGAATGGGGAAATGTTGGCAGTAATGGGAGCTGCAGCTGTTGTATGAGGCAACCAGGCTATAGGTGCTCACGTCTAACATGTCTGACACATGTCATAACTAGTTTGCATTAGAGAAACATGCAGGTTTCTTTTTTTACCCATGTCAGTGGTATGACTCTAAATATGGATGATGTTGGTTTGTCAGTCCACCACTTTCAGCATTTAAAAATTTTCACTAGACTGTTTTCTGTTAGCTGCCATTTGCATTTAGCTCAAAGCACAGCTCTGCCTACTTACACTCCCAGTGAGTTGCTGAACTGTAGACCCTTCTTCTTCTAATCAACATATCATATCATATTAAACGTATATGCAAAATATGTGCTGCCAGCACCTTCAGAAGATTGAATCATACTGAATATTAATGTAAAATGAATTAATGTTTTTTGCAGTGTAGAGCTGTTCTGGGTGTAAACATTATGTATGTTCTCACATACATAGGGATACACTGATATTGTTTTAACACCAACTTTTAAACTTTAAATACAGCAAGAAATACAGGTATGCCATGTGTCTTATGTTTTCAAACTCTCAGCAGAAAATTCCTAAATATCCTGCCTAACTTAAAACTTTGAGTAAAATGACTTGAGGACACCTGGAGATGATATGACAATTTCCTCTACACAAAATACCATTATTAGTGCCAAAAGGGTCCAGTGTCCAAGTATGAATATGCCTCCTTTGCTTCCAACAATTAAATACTTGAAAATGGCTGCTACATTTATCCTTTAATACCAAAGTCAAAGCTCAATTTTGCAGTATCTAATTTTGCTGTAGCCCCCCCCCCCCAACCCGGTTAAAACCACACTATGATAAAAACAGCAGTATGATAATTATGCAGATTTGAACATACTGTACGTAGCAAGTGGGGTTAAGCAGGAAATCATGTGCAAATGGAACAACAGTTTTCTCTGCAGCTTTGACATCTTGTCAGAGAAGCCACTGCCATCGATACAGGGATGACACCACAGTGTCAAGTAGATGTTCAAGAGATAAGGTGAAGGGAGCTTAAAATTTCATTTGTCTGGGTGAGACACACATCTTACATATCTTGCATACTTTGTAAATCCTACATAGTCTAAAACTTTAAAGGTGCATTTTGTAAGATCTAGAAGTATGTATTAATAGAAATGGGCTATATTAATTATGTTTACAT